GAAGTTCAAGGCCAGCCTGGGCAACATAGCAAAAACTAATCTCTACAAAAAAATAAAAAACTTAGCTGGGCGTGGTGGCGCGTGCCTTTAGTCCTAGCTACCTGGGAGGCTGAGGCAGGCGGACTGCTTATGATCACACCACTGCACTTCAACCTGGGCAACAGAGTGAGACACTGTCTCTCAAAAATAAACAAACAAAAAATAATTGTCTCAGATTCATCTATCTTTTCTCTTTATGTCCTTTTAAGAAATCCTGTCCTATTTCTAGGGTCATAAAGATAGACTCCTCTATTTCCTTTTAAAAACACTTAAAGAATGCTCTTCACATGTAAGTTTTTCATCCTGCTGTAATTGGTGTTTCTGTAAAGTGTGAAGCTGGAGTTTAATCTATTTTTTTAGCTGGATAGTCAGTTGTCCCGGTCATTCTTTCCACACCGAATTGTAACGCCACTTCTTTAATATATAAATCTTCCACAAGTACAAGGATTGATTTCTGGGTTCTCTTTGCTCATTGCTCTGTGTGTTTATCTCTGTGCTCAAGCCACAGTGTCTTAATTTCAATAACTTTATAATTAGCGTTGATATCTAGTATGTGAGATGCTCATCTAATTTTCTGAGTTCTGAGTCTATAATTTTGCCTATTTGGAATGTCGCATACAGAGAATCATACAATATGCCACCTTTAGGGTTTGGCTTCTTTACCTTAGCAAAATAACTTTGAGAGCAATCTATGTTCTTGTTTGTCCAGCAGTTGATTCCTTCTTAGTATTGAGAGGAATTCCAGTGCATGGATGTGCCACTACTTTTTAATGCATCCACAGTGGATGGGCAACTGATTTTTTTTTCACAGTTGTGGGTGCTTATGAATAGAGCTACTGTGAACATTAGCATACAGGCTTGTATGAAAACATGTTTTCATTTCTCTGGAGCAAATTCCCTGCAGTGGAATTGGTGGGTCACGTAGTACAGGTATATTTACATTTATGAGAAACTGCAAAAATGCTTTCCAAAGCGGTCGGGCCATTTGAGTCCACAGCTGTACAGTGTGAGAGTTCCAATGGCTGTGTGTCCTCGCCAGTTTGTCACCAGAATTGGCAGCCTTAAAAGTTGAGCCAGCTGGACTTGGTGGCTCAGCCTGTAATTCTGCACCTTTGGGAGGTTGAGGTGAGTGGATTGCCTGAGCTCGTGGGTTCGAGACCCGCCTGGGCAGGAGAGACCTCATCTCTACAATAAAATCAAAAAATTAGCTGGGCATGGTAGCACGCACCTGTAATTCTGGCTACTCCGAAGGCTGAGATGGAAGGATCGCCGGAGGCCAGCAGGTCGAGGCTGCGGTGGCCGGGAGCGGCCACTGCACTCCAGTCTGGGCGACAGAGTGAGACTCCAACTCAAAAAAAAAAAAAAGTTGAGCCAATCTGATTAGGGTGCAGTGGTATCTCATTGTGGCTTACCTGTGCATTTCCCTGATGACTGATGATTTTGGACTAGATTTCATGGGTTCGTTTGTATCTGTGTCTCCTCTTGGATGAAGTATCTGTTCAAATCTCGTGTTCACTTGTAAACGTTGTGTTTTCTTGTAACTGCTTTTTGAAATTTCTTTACATATCCTGGTGACAAGTCCTTTGTCAGATGTATGCCTTGCTAATATTTCTTCAGCCTATAGTTTGTCTTTTCATTTCCTTAAGAGTGTCTTTTTGAAGTGCAGAAGTTGTACATTTTGATGTTGTCTAGTGTATCCATTTTTTTCTTTCTTTCCCTTTTTCGTTTTTTTTTTTTTAAGATTGGAAAATACAGAGTATTTAGAAAGTAAATTAGAGAGCGCGAGAAAGGAGATTCGCCTCCACAAGGCAGTGGAGGGGGCAAGAGCTTAGAAAACATGGCCTGGCCGTAGCTCAAAGAGCCAATCGGGCAACCCCTTCGGGTCCCCTCCCACTGTGGAAGCTTCTCTGTCCTCTCAATAAATCCTGCTTTCAAAAAAAAGAGCCACATGGCCAGACCAGCTCTTAGCAAAGCCATGGCCTCCTTCCTGGTTTGAGAGAGAGGGTCTTACTCTGTCACCCTGGCTGCAGTGCAGTGACACAATCATAGCTTGCTGCAGCCTCAAACTCCTGGGCTCAAGCAAACCACTTGCCTCAGCCTCCCGAGTAACTGGGACTACAGGCACGCACCACCGTGAGTAGCTAATTTTTGCTTGTTGGTTGGTTTGTTTGTAGAGATAGGTTCTTGCTCTGTTTCCTAGGCTGGTCTAAAACTCCTGGCCTCAAGAGATCCTCTGGCCTCAGAGTCCCAAAATGCTGGGATTAAGGTGTGAGCCATGGTGCCCAGTCAACACTTCCTTTTACGGATCATGGTTTTGGTATTGAACCTAAGAAATCTTTGCCCAATTCAAGGTCACAAAGATATTCTATTTTTTCTTCTAGGAGCTTCATAGTTTTAGGTTTAACGTTAGGTCTGTAATCTATTTTAAGTTTTAAAAATACAGAGCAACCACAGGTATCCAAAACAATCATCAGCAAAAGAAACAAAGTGGGAGGCATCCCAGACTTTACACTTTATTATGAGGCTACCATAATCAAAACAACCTGGCATTGGTATAAGAGCAGGCATATATACCAGTGTCGGAACAGAATAGTGATTCTGGAAGCTAAACCTCAACTTTTCAATCCACTCATCTTCAGCAAAGTCTTCACCAATAACCACTGGGGGGAGGGAAGCTATTCAAATGGTGCTGGGAAAACTGACTGACCACATGCAGAAGAGTGAAACGGGACCCCTATCACCACACACAAAAATCACCTCCAAATTGACCAAAGACTTACACACAAAACCTCAAGCTATAAGAATCTTAGAAAATGCAGGAGATACCCTTATGGAAACTGGAATAGGCAACCGATGCCTGATCAAAACCCCAGGTGCCCATGCCATAAGAGGTAAGATAGGTAAGTGGGAGCTCATTAAACTGAAAAGCTCCTGCAAAGCAAAAGAATCATCGAGAGAGGGGGGAGACAGCCCAGAAAATGGGAAAATACTTTTGCCAACTGCATAACTGACAAAGGCCAAACATCCAGGATCTGCAAGGAATGCAAACGTGCCGAAAGGAAAAAAAGCAGCCCCATTAAAAAAATTGGCCAAAGACATGAATAGGCATTTCTCAAAAGAAGATATACGAGCAGCCAACTGACACATGAAAAAATGCTCAGCCTCATTAATCATCAGAGAAATGCAAACCAGAACCACAATGAGATACCGCCTAGCTCCAGTAAGAATGATCATTATTAATAAAACAGAAACAACAGATGCTGGCGAGGATGCAGAGAAAAGAGAATGCTTCTGTGCACTGGTGAGAGTGCAAACTAGTTCAACCTCCCTGGAAAACAGTGTGGCGATTTCTAAAAGAACTAGAAATTGACCTTCCGTTTGACCCAGCAATCCCCCTTCTGGGAAATACCCGGAGGAACTCAAATCGTTCTACAAAAAAAGTACCTACACATGCATGTTTATTGCAGCTCTGTTCACAATAGCCAAAACATGGAACCAACCATGCTGCCCATTGAAGCCGGACTGGATTAAAAACTGTGGTATATATACATGATGAAATATTACACAGCCATAAAGAATGTCAAAACTGCCGGGCTCAGTGGCTCAGCCTGTAATCCCACGCCTTTGGGAGACTGAGATGAAGTGGACTGCCTGAGCCCGTGGGTTCGAGACTCGCCTGGGCAATTGGCGAGACCTCATCTCTACATAAATCAAAAATTAGCCAGGCGTGGTAGCGCACGCCTGTAGTTCCAGCTCCTTGGAAGGCTGAGGCGGGAGGATCGCCGGAGTCCAACAGGTCGAGTCCCGGCCACCGCACTCCAGTCTGGGCAACAGAGTGAGACTCTGACTCAAAAAAAAAAAAAAAGAAAAGAAAAGAAAAGATGTCAAAACTATGGACTTTGCAGCAATTTGACTGGATTGGGAGTCTAACATACTCAGTGATCTATTACAGAAACAAAAATCTGAGAACCGCATGTTTTCACTCAAAAGTGGACCCTGAATACCCATCATAACACCCTAAAAAAGGGGTTGGCAGTATGGGACACTCAGAGGCGTGATGGAGGGCACACAGCATCAATAAGGGTGCCTGACCCTAATCCAGGCGAAGTGAGGTCCGGGGAGAGGTCCAAGGTTCACCTGTACCCAAACCACTCCTGTACCCAATCCTGACCGGTACCCCACAACTTAAAAACAAACAAACAAACCAACAAACGATAGAACTCTGAGGTCAGAAGAAAAAGAAAAAAGTTCAATCGGTGAACGTTTATATGATGAATAAATGAAATAAAACAGTGTTTCCTAGAACTGAAAAAGCAAATACAGCGAGAAGTATAGGTCATTTTTATGTTAATGGATGGTCAAACTGTTTTAGCGCCATTTCTTAAAAGACTTTCCTTACCTTGACCTGGGCACTGCTGTTAACAACCAATTGACCATACGTGCATGGGTCCATTTCTGGACTCTCTGATCTGTCTGTTCTTTTCCCATACCTCACTGTCAGGCTTCCTTTAGCTTTCTATAAGTTTCGAATCCAAAAGACAAGCACTCCGATTTTTCAAAATAGTTTTGGGCTCTCTAGGTGTATTGTTTCCTCCTAAATTTTAAAATCAACTGGACAACCTTGTTAAAAATCCTGCTGAAATTATGGTTAAGAACGTCTTCATTGTGGAGATCAATTTAGGAGAATAATCAACTAGCAATGAGCCCTCTGATGGATGGACACGGTGTGTCTGTCCGTTGATTAAGCCCTTTGCTTTTCCTTGTCAATACTTTGCATACAGATGTGACTTAACAGGACTCTCAACTTTGTCACCTTTTCATTTCGGCCCTAAGAAAACATGTATAGTTCCCGACAGTAAGACTTCGGTGACCAGCTTATCTGAGAAAAAGAAGCTAGAATGGTGCCAAGGGGTCTGTCTCTCATCTGGGAAGGAAGGACCTGGAGCCTTGGAACCCCCGACTCAGGGGCTGGAAGCGTCTCCCCCGAAGATGAAGTTCCCCTGGCCTGGATCTGGGCAACTCACGGAAGAGGTCGGAAAAGAGCCAGCTCGGCACAGAGACGACCAAGAGCCACGGTCGTTGAGGAACGCTGTGTGGTCTCGCCCCCCTTCCTGTTCTCCCTTCCCTGGAGCACAGGCAGGAGAGCCTTTCAGGGGGTCCCTGGGAAGTTGCTGTGTGTTGGGGGTGTGAACTGGCTACAGAGCTCGAGTCAGAGTTGTGCAGTTTGTGTGTCAATAAAGCAGGATACTGGTCGGTCGGTTTGGTCGCTCAGTGATCACATGCTTCCTTTCGGCATCTTTCCCTCCTGCTCTGAGTCACTGTGGCGCATCATTGTTTCCGGTGTGAGACCGCAGTCTTGGGAGGACATCCAGAAGGGCAGATCGGAGTTCGAATCCTGGCTCAGCTACTTGCCAGCTACCTCTCATGTCCTTGGGAAAAGCATGCCAACCCTTCTGGTTCTGACTTTCATGCCGCAGAGGAGCACACCATCTACCTCACAGGGTTGTTGGTGTCGATAAACACGATGCTGAGTGTAAAGCACTAAACACAACACCGGCTGGATATTATCCTAAGGGAAGATTCTGGTTGGATTTGGGGTTCTGGGCTGGCTACCGGTGTGTGGGGCTTTATGTTCCCTGGCCTGAGATGGTCACGAAAAGAGTGCTTGAGGAAGGGACTTGGGTGTGATTTTCTATGGGAGTTCTTTTAGGTGGGGGAGACGGAAGCTGCAGGTGACACGTTTCCCCCTGAGATACGTCGAGCGAATTTTAGGGTAACTTCTTTCGTGTGGGCCAGGGCCAGGAAGGTGAAGAGGGAACCGGAGGCGCGGCTCTGTGCCTCTCCAGGCCCCGGGGCCCTTCAGCACCTGCTGGCTAGTGAGGTGTTCACATCGGCCTAGGTCTTGTTGGCAGGTTTCAGCCCTCCCGTTCGAATCACAGCCTGCTCCAAAGAGGTCGTCAGCAGTCTTGAGGCAGGTGACGAGGGCCGTCCCTCCGGTTGGGTCTTTGAGACGCATATAGGGCCACTCCCTGGGGCTCCCATTGGGAGGGGACAGGGAGGCGGTACCAGGGAGGGTGAGCCGCTGTAACAGAACACCCAAGGCGGTACTTCATAAAGAACTAAATTTACTTTCACAGGTCTGGGGTCCGGCGGTCGAAATTCCAGGCGACCCCAGAGCGGTGTCTGGGGGGGCACCGCTTGCTTCCAGATGGCGCCTGTTGCTGCCTCCTCTGGAGAGGGCCCCCGCGCGACCTCACACGACAAGGGGACGACGGCTGTGTCCTCACACGCGGAAAGCAGAAGTGCAAACCGGGCCTTGGCGCGGGCTCAGCCCCTTGAGAGGCTCCGGCCCGTGGGGAGGGCAGGGAGGCCCCCGCTGCGACCACCACCCCAAGGGAGACTGAGTTTCAGCATGAACCTCGGAGGGGCAGACCCAAACACCTCCGCAGGGCAGAGGCACAGACAGGCCGCCACCCCGGCCGAGAAGCCACAGAGAAGGGCGTCAGGCGGCGGCGGCGGACTGGCCCTGTCGCTGCAGAATCACCCCCAGCGTCCGGCCACGACTCCGTCCTTCTCCCTCTCAC